CCGGAGGTCAGAATTCACCGATAATCCAAACAAAAATGACTCAACCACGTTGTTTTATTATCGTACCTAGTTAAACACGGAAGAACAGCTATCGTTTTGTTCCCAAATCCATGACAGTTTGATCACCACATTTTCTGAATGAAAAGGCGTCTACAGTTTCGTTCATCAGCTCCATAAAACAAGCTGGATCACTCACTCACTCACTCACTCACTCACTCACTCACTCACTCACTCACTCACTCACTCACTCAATCTCTCTCTCTCTGTCTTTCGATCACGCACGCTGTTGTGTTATCAATAAGTGTGTGTGTGTGTGTGTGCGTGTGAAGGTGGTGGTTGTGGAGATGGTGCAAATCCCGTGGTCGCTAGAGTCTTCTGTTCATCCATTTGTGATCACCGGTATCCAGAACGCTTGAGATTCGGACTGGTGATTCAAATCAGTGTTGATCTGAATAATAGTGAAGCTACCTACCATCACTGTTGAATGGCAGTGACAAGGTTAGAACCTTAGAGATTAGGATCTAAAGTACTCCACTGACAGTGATCCAAGTCGTGATTGCGGTCTCCAACACTTTATTCATTTTGTTCCCAATTGATTTATCGTAAACAACTAGTCATTATTTCTATCAAAAACCATACTCAGCGAAGGGTTTGTGAAATTGATCTAACCACGTATGGTGTAACCTCGGGGTTCGAGCAGTTTAATATTCCAAGCATCATTTTGATTTATTCCAACAGATTTCGTAATTTGTTTGGTGCAAATTTTGAAGTATGATAAAAATAATGAGAATAACAATATGAATTACTTCTGATTTTAATATAGGATTCGATCGCGTTTATTCGTGCCGAGACCAAAGAAGTCATCCCGACGACGGACGGTCAACTTTGCTTCAGTCTGATCAAAATGATGGACGCATTCTTCTTGCCCTATCATCCGAAAGATGTAAGTTTTACTGCGGTCCTCGTGGCACCGGTACCCTTTTTTTCGTTCACCACAATCCGTAAGATGAACAAACTTTTCTTCTAACTCGATCACCAACATCCTTCTCAGACACCCATGACCAAAACAAAGAAGCAACAGGTAGTGATTGCTGTTCTTTTACAGTTGTTGCTGTGCCACAAAAACCATTGTTCTTTTTTCTAACTTTCGATTTTCAAGTTCGGTCTTACGTGTTCACATTGTTTGTTTTCCGATGATTTATTTTTTGGACAGTCTGTGTTCATGGTCACTCAGTCACACGAACCGTTTTTCTTTCCCAAAAGGCTGAAAAAACAAAGAACCTTAAAGCACCCCTCCGTCCCATGATGACCGAAGGTCTTCAGGTATCCGATCTGTTTCGTTTGTACGTTTCACAGATTCTACGTTGACACTTTCCAAGTTGGAGCTAATATGTTTTGTCTAAGAGATTTTTACCTACTTTACTAACTATACCTCTTCCGATGCCACTTCTCCCTTCCCACCACCGTTCGTGACTCACAGAAACACGTCACGGAAGACATTCTGGTACGAATCGGACAGGCGATGGAATGCTGGTTTATCTTCTCCCTTATTTGGTCGGTTGGAGCCACGTGCACGAATGAGGGCAGACTGAAATTCGATGCTTATTTACGTCGCAAAATGAAGGAGTTGAAAGTGAGCATTAGTCTGTTTCGGTTGACCTCCGTTTGTATATGCATCCGGTGCGCTGTATTGTGCTATCGACCCAGACTGTTATTTCCTGTTTAAGTCTGTGATTGTCTTGAGTAGTCAAATAAGAGTACTGGTGTGAAACCGACAGATTCACTCAGAAGTAAGGAAAACTTCATAAAACAAGAGAGAAAGGAAATACTGAAAGATTTAGCGCAGTCTTCACTGACGGTAAGTATTTCAAATTTTAAATACCATTCAATGTGCAGTGAGATGGCAAATCAGACCTGTTACATGACTCGTCTGACCGACTGATCACAACTCATCCTCATCTGATCGCACGTGACTTTGCTGTCGACTTTGCGAATATTAATCGATCCAGTGTTTAACGGATCAGAATGTATCTTGTTTTTATCAAAACCGCCGCATGAAGGTGCATGGTAAATGGTTGTAAAAACTTAAGCTTACCTTGGTAATCGATCCGAAATAGTTAGAGTCACTCCATTTCTTGCCCGTATGAATGGTATCTTTCCTGCTAGGGGATGACCAGACCGGGAGTAGACAGACAGAATTCCATCAAAATATGTTTCCCACTGGGCAAATCAATTTAAAACGACCGATCGGGGTCAAATACCGCTAGGTTAATATATTCTTGAATCGTCATCTGATGAACAGTCACAGGTTTATTGTCACTCAAACGAGTGAAATGATCGATTCAGATCCAAACTTCATTCCCTTATCTGTGTCGGGAAATTGTGCATACTATATATCAATAGCTTTTTGAGTTCAATAGAACAAACGTAATAAAGGCACTGAAATTCGAATGCCAAATTGAACGTTCCATGTGTTTTAATTCCACAAGGACGAGGATAGTTATTTATTGTGAATAACGAATAGGAGTAGTGCCTCACAACACTTGTAGTACTCGTCATACATGAAATGACTAGAATGGCAACATTAAGACTGTTGACCTTAGGGTTTATTGCAAGTTATTTTTTAAATTACGCTAATTCTCAGATACCGATATGTAATCTCACCATTTTTCTATCTAACTGAATGAATTCCACGTAGGTAGAACACCCAACGAACTGTAGTGTGCGGTGGTCATATCCTGATT